TTAATTGCATTATAATTATAACTTTGAGTAACTTGTGAACTATTTCACTTTATATTGGTTAAATATTGGAATCCTCGCTCTCATGATTACTCTGACCTTTTATACAATCGAGTGATTTATTCACAGCTCAGTTACCATTTTGATCACTATTTTGATTACTTGGACTTACTATTGACCCGATAGAGTTTAATACGGTCGAGTTTAAATCGGTCGAGTTTAAATCATGATTACTCTTGACTTTACTTTGAACAAATTATAAACTAACCGACTTATTACGAGCACGAGTCACATTATGATTATACTTTTGATTACATTGAGTTACGATTGACTTGATAGACTTTATTTCGCCTAAATTGAAATCTTGATGACTTGATTACTTTAAGCTGATATTAATATAATTGATTTGTTATAAAGTTAATTGATGCTATGATAAGTAGTTTGATTACTTCGAGTTACTATTTACTCAATAGAATTTATTTCAGCTAATTGACGCTGTGGTGCCTCTCTTGATTACTTCGAGTTATTATGCACCCAGTTGATATATCATTAGCTCAATTCACATTATTACGCTTTTCACTACTTAAGTTACTTTCGACCCATTGAATTTACTTTTGTCTAATTGGCATTATTAGGATTTTTTTATTGCTTTGAGGTAATATTCTAACAAATTATTCAATATAAGCTCAATTTATGTTATGATTACTCTTTTGATTACTTTGAGTTACTATTAGCTTTATTAGTTTTAGTTTTTGCAAAGGGTACACTAGAGATACCGTGTTTTTTTTTCGCAAAAGCCTTATTATTCACTGACGTCAATATTATGTTAAATGCCAAGCCAACGGGGTCGTAACTTCATAATAACTATGGTGGCTGGAGTTAAAAGCTGTAGGAATTGCTTAGCAGGTTCCCAGTGCCCTATAAATTTCAGCAAAAGTGGAATTACATATACAGGTTATAAATACTTAGAAGTAAATATGTTACGCAGAAGTAGTCTGGTGAACTCTAAAAAAAGCCCGCGCGTCCACTTTCCCGGACAACACTCGGAGAGCCGATCACGGCGCTCAGCGAATGACGATGCCGAAACATATGCTTAGACCAAAAAACGCAGTCTGAATTGTTTCATTAAGCAATGCAAGCGTGACGTTTTGCATTGCTTAAAGTCACAACTCAGACTGCGTTTTTTAGTCTAAACATATGTGTCGGCATCGTCATTCGCTGAGCTACCTTCGTAACTCGCCGTGATTGGCTCTCCGAGTGTTGTCCGGGAAAGCGGATGCACGGGCTTTTTTTTAGAGTGTGGGGATCAAGTTATGAGAAATGAAGAATATTCACCTACCAATCCCTAAATGTGAAGGGGCTCAACGTTTCGGAAACAACTCGGTTCCTGCATCAGGGGCGACGTGCCGTTTGACGAGTAGCTTCTTCTAAAAGCGGGTATGACTGTTGACCCGCAGCAGTTTCTTCCTCTTTTAAGAGGTTGAGTTTTTATTTCTCTTTCATCAGTGCCGACCGTGGTAGGACCCCTTCACATTTAGTGATTGGTGAATTGATGAGTATTTTCCCTTTTCAGGTTACAAATAGCAGAGGTGTTGGGTGAACGCAACAAATTATACCACAGTAGCAAGTATCAAAAGTAAATACAACGGTAAAAGCTCTAATGTAATTATCATTCGTTTGACAAGTAACAAAAAATTTGAACTCTTTTGATTGACAGGCTGTTGTATCGATGGTGGATAAATCTATGCTATAAGTAATTTTAGTAGGAGGCCATAACTAAAATGAGAGCTATGCCACCTAACCAGGGTTCAGAGTGGCGGATTGCACAAGGGCAACATGATACCGATAAGATAAGGCAATCTCTATTAAAGCATGAAGTGCTTTTTAACGCTACCCCCAATCCCAAAATCTCGTCCGTCCGCCCGTCCGTGCGTTTCGCGCTAAATTTATCAAGCAAATCGATAAAACGAGACCTATACTCGAAATCAGTTCTTCAGTTCAATTTAGGCGGAAAATTAATTTCACGTGACCTGTCGTCATGGGACATAGAGACCAATTCACTTTCCCCGCTAAATTTAGAAGAAAAATTGATGTCGCGTGACCAATACACCTTTTTCATTTCCCCGCTATATTTGGCGGGAAAGTGGTGTTACGCAAAGTGGCTTATGTACATAGAATAAATTGACAGCACGTGACCTATACGTCAGATCAGCTTGCGCACTAAATTTAGCGGGAAAATTCACGTCTTGTGGCCAAAAGATCAATTCAGCTTCCCCGAAAAATTTACCGGGACATTGTCGTCACCTGTACCATACATCAAAACAGTTACCCGCTAAATTTAGCGGGAAATTCGAGTCATGTGAGCTAGAATTATATCCAGTTTCCCCGCTATATTTAGCAGGGAAAATCGTGACCTGTACAACCGTTCAGTTTCCCCCCCTAAATTTAGCGGGAAAATATACGTCACGTGACATACCAATTCCCTATGATGCATTTTATGCATTATAGCACTTTAAAGGTAGAGGTCGCCGCCAACTTTCCTTTTTATATTCTGTCTTAGTACGTAACGTAAAGCTATCAGACAGCAAATATCTTGGCTGATAAACTTAGGCAGTTTATCACTGAAACGAATGCTTTCGTATCTGTCAAGTAGAATGTTCCTCACGTTGTGTGACACCGGATTTACCACACGAATATTCACTCGCTTTAAAAAGGAAGTGAACTTCAGTACCAGAGAGTTATTATAATGAACACTAGAGGTTCAACTGGCGCTAGTGTGCCGTGGCCAATTGAAGCAGACAACAACCAGTCCGAAATTGACTTCCAGGAATGCATTTCTATGGGAAAAAGCGAGTGCATTTTCTTCCTACGCTCGATTATAACAGCAAATATCACGAATAATTCGTACGTAATAGGTAAATTGGAACATTTCTCAGTCACGCAGACCAAATATTAGGTAAGTTACGAAGTTTTTATTTAAAATTATGGCATTAAAACGGTGCTAAAACGGCTTCGTACATGTATTTATGTGTACTGTCTGACACTGTTCCACGAACACGGCGTCGGCGCTTTCCAGCAGGGTGGAACGTACGTTCCAAACGAACGAAGGACATGGGGAAAATCAAGAGAGACGGCAAGACCTACGCAGTAACAGTGGATCAGTAAGTTCTTGTGCATGCAGGTGATCCCAAGAAATTGAAGGCTACATAATATAGTCCGTTTTGCAATTAGTAGTTCTTTATTTTTTTCTGCTCATGAATATGTGCGAAGATGCTTGTTCTGCGTTCAAAACATCACCCGCACCCTCGGTACCTTTAAAACAAAAAAAAAAAAAACAAAAAAAAAACAGTTCCCCAATAAAATTTGGGCGACATAGAAAGTAATAAAAAAGCAGACCTTTCATAGCCCACATTATTTATTCTTTACGTTTATAATTTTTCAACCGCTCGTGAAGATGCACGATGGTATAATTTTGATATAGAGTTACGGGACGTGCATATTAGGAGTCTATAAGCGCCACCGGAATGCTGGCGAACCTTGAACACACTCTACATTCCTTCCGATCGTGATTTTACTTAGAATCGTCGCTCGTTTCTACATACCCGCTTTGGAACAGAGGTTTAAGCATGAAATATAGCGAAGTTTAACATCATTCAGGGGTAAACAAAGACCATAAAGCAATTACACTTTTACTATGTTAATAAAGGTACACATTAGTCGGTCCAACCAAAATAACAAAAGTGTTCCACGTTATTTTCCGGCGAAGAGACAAAATGCACGCGCCTTTTCCCATAGGAATGCACAAGAGCTGTGCAAAAGTAGACTGGTTGCTGACTGCTTCAATTTTTGCCTCCCGGAAGTCGCATAGACAGTAGCGCCAGTTGCACCTCTAGCGTCCGTTATAACAACTCTATGATCAGTACCACCTAGAGCACAAGTCCCGCGCATGACGTCATCATTAGTAGATCTCTGACCCGCCCCCAAGCGGCAAACCCTCTTAAGCTCGACGAGAGAAGGCGGCAGACGCGTCCGTCTTGGTGTCGCCGATTTGCTGGCGTCGCGCTCGTTGTGAGACACTGCAAGACGCGCTGGCGGTGACACTGACACGAGCTAGAGAGTTTAAACTTGTACTATTTGAGCGTCTTGGTGCGTTTTAAACATGTAGAAAGTGGAGACACATAAGGGACGATACAAGCGGGACAATCTTTCAAGATTGTCCTGTCTGCATCGTCCCTTATGTGTCTCCTCTTTCTACATGTTAAAAAGAGCTGGGGGGGGGGGGGGGGGGTGCCTGGGTCCACTCTTGTCGATGACAGGTTAAGAGTAAAGTGTAAGCTCCTCCCACCTCTTTCCCCTTTAGCACAGCGAAGGCTGGAGAAGAGGTCGCCTGTTCTCCAGCCTTCGCTCTGCTGAAGTGGAAAGGAGGGGTAGGAGGAGTTTCCCCTGAATTCTTATCCTGTCACTGACTATGCAGAGAGCAAGTCGTCTGCTTCGTACACTGGAGTTGCGGTGACGTCAGAACGACATCGAGTTCTGATTGGTGTTGAATGAAAGTATAGTGGGTAGACCTCAATGCTAAATGCCTTGTGGTCTACCCACTATTTTTTTTTTTTTTTTTGCTTTTAAATAAGCCAATAAGAGTTCGGCGTTCTGAACATTATCGAAAACTCCTGTGCGAGAAGCAGACGACTTGGTCTCCGCATAGTGACCACGTTTGGAAATGGAAGAGGTGGGAGAAAGGAGGGAAAGGCGCTGGCCTATATTTTCTTTCACTTTAAGTCCAGTCGCAGCCGACGCTACGAATTGATGGGGCCAATCAGGCAGCCTCAAAAGTCATAGTGTTCGTTTTATCATCGCTGGGCCAATGATGTGCGAAGAAGGCCTAGTGACTTGTGCTTTTGACGCTGCTTGAGTGGTCCTATTACCTCGTATCGGCGGTTGCGTCTGAACTTAAGGTGAAACGAAGTACGGGTGGCGTCGATGAATGAGTACGATCAACTTACCAAACTTTTGCGCGTACTCTTGGTAGATCTTCCCCATTGTTCTGTTTTGATTGAGAGCCTCGATCAAAGGCGACTGGTCTCGAATGGCAATGGAACAGCCAGTAGCTTCCGCAGACGATCGGAGGCAACGCTCCAGCTTTGTCCTCAACGACTTAAGCTCGTGATTTTCTGGGGCTCTGATAACGAATTCCATTTTTGACTCCGCTGGTAAGATATTGGCCAACTTTCCGCCGTCTGTTATGATACCTGGACGGAAAGAAGGGATAGCATTGAAAGGCACCAGACTGACATCACGGGGATGTTACATGTAGTCAGGAAGCCCAATGTCACGAGTGTATGTTGGACAAAAAATCCCGATTTCGGTTCTTTCCAACTTAATCCCCCCCCCCCCCAAAAAAAAAAAAAAAACTAAAAATAAAATAAGAACTTTTTAGCGTTATAAAACAAAGCACTCAGGAATGGAACTGTTTATATTGGCAAAGGTTGATTCGAGCATTTCGTTTTCGTTCACGAAGTATCGGTTCTAGATAATGATAGAGAGTGATACTGTATTGAAAGCAGAAAACGTACGCAGCCTCTCAGAGTCCTATTTATTTTATAAAGATTGCATTTCATTTACCTCTTTTAATTTCTCAACTTTTATTATAATATATTTCATCTCCAGCCATTCTATTCTTTATAGTGACATTTCGACTTGCGATTTCATCTAGGTGCAAACCATAATTGAGCAAACATCTGACTCTTGAAAGCCTGCACTTCTGACTGGTAACTGAAGAATCTGGAAAGTTTAATGCGGCGAACTTGTGCCCAAAAAAAAAAAAGGAAACAGAAGATAAGAACAGAGCGCCGTTGGCGTCGAGGTCGGCGTAACAGCAGAGTCGAACGCTGGGGCGAGACTGACTCCGGCTCGCGTATTTCTCTGGAAAATTCGGCCTAGAACGCTCGGCTCGTAAAACATTCGTAACTGGATAGGACGAGAAGGTTCTCGAACTTACGAGAACGCCAAGTAGAAATAATAAATAAAAAAAAAAAAGATTGGAATCGAACCCGGATCCTTCGCGCGACAGCCAAGGACGCTAACCACTCGGCCACGCACGCGCTCACTTGGCATCGCGCGTGGCAATATGCTAAATGGTGGGTTTATACAAGTAACCTGACTAAAAACAAGAAAATATACAAGCATGTTTTATCTCGTTCATTCTGAAATTTTATATCCGTTTTGTATAGAGGCAAACATATAATATGCCTTTTTAAAGATGCTGAAATTATATTTTATTTATTCGTTCGTTTGTACCCGTATCCTGACGGTACAGCATAATCAACGTTTAAAACCATCTGGGTTGTACTAGTTAGGGTTTTTGAACCGCTCTGCGGTAAAGAATCTAACGATATCATACATAATGAGTTTCGGACACGTGATTATGTATCTTTGATGCGAGGAGGCCCTTGCGATGCAGGTTGAAATCTACTTCCTGCCGAATGTTTTGGATATGTGAATTGCAGTTAATCGTATAGTCTCCAAACGAGATATTGTCATCTAAGTTCCGCAGCAGATTTAGTTCTTTGAAAGGTGATGTCGTCGTTATAGCATATATATATAGGTGATTAAAATGATCCGCACTTAGGTTGTAGAATTTATTTTCCTCAAAACGATGTCTTAACACAAACCTGTAATTGATTATTGCGTAGACAAAGCCTTGGTTGATTTGCGCAATTTTTTTATAATTTATCCCATCATCCACTCTCACTTGTGTATCTGACAGAATCAATTCACATGGACGCCCATTGTCGTCGTCAACGACGCAAACTGGCGTCCGGCTCCTTCTTTACGGCTGACATTTGTGCCTGCTTCCTCGAATATCTCTATTCATTCGAACATCCTTCTTTGGGACAAAACAGTTCCTTTATATTGTGCACAAAGTGTTTGATAAATATCGGCCCCAGTTACACCCTCAGACCACAAAGACAACGGCTCCCCCCCCCCCCCCCCCCCCCACACACACACACAGAAACACTTGTGAAAATTACAAGTCGGTCAGCCAGTGTTTTGTGCACTGCGCAGCTATAACCGGAAAGACAGCGACTTCGTACTAAAAGCGCTGTTAAACCAGTGCGGCCAACACAACTCTTAAGATAACCATAGGGGCGAATAATTGTTTTGGTACACTGGTATATCTTTTTTAGACTTTGACGCCGCCATTCTCACCTGAAATTCTCATGTCTGGCTTCATCTGCTGCCTGAGCAAACCAACGTTCACGTAAGCACCAACCGCGGCGTCCAGGGCATTAACTCCATCCCATGGCTTTATACCGGCATGAGACGGTCGCCCTTCGTATTCAACACCAATCTTAAAAGAGAAGATTGTATTTCCGTCACATAATTTGTGAGTCTATTGTATGGCTTATTTTTTTTTTTCAGAGAGAGTGAGCACTTTTTTTTTTATAAGAACCATATCTACGCCTTTTCTAAAACTGTATTCGTAAGGGACATTCAGCCTGTGCGCCCTCTTGGACAGTTCTTGGCGAAACGCTGCAAAAATTTGTTTGAAGCGAACTGCAGAACTTATTATATTTTCCGAAAAAATTATAGCCGACAATATTACAATATCATTTAACACAAATAAAAACCTATACTGTAAACGACTTCATTTTCGGGAGGACCTAATTTTCGCGAATCGCCTACTATTCGGGAAAAATAGGTCCCGCGCACAATTCCGCTAAAATGTAAACACATTGGAATCTATATTAAGATCCCACCGCGTCGTGTTTCAAAACTTCAGCTTTACTGAAATTGCGAAATATTGAGCCCGCAAAAAAAAAGTCGTTTACAGTATATATTTTTAGTGCATATTTCGACCAATTTTTGCAAGATGTTCTACGGGTCACCTTTGCAATATATTACATTTGTGCGCATCATAATAAAAAAAAAAGAACGTAATATTTCCGAGGATTTTTAATAACCTCTGGCGTATAGCACGCATCTAAATTACTTTGTCATGGTTTGCATACATATTTTTTCTTCAAAAGATAAAATGTCCAGTGGTGACATTCATGAGCCCACAAAATATTTCCCAGAAAGTTTTGTGGCCATAACAATAATCTAATGTTTCAAAAGGACCTATATATTGCCGCGCGCAGGGCTGAGAAAGCAACGCTCGATCACGGACCTCTAGAAAGTTCTCGTTTATTCTTGTACCAGATGTAACTTCTATCGTTTATCCCTGCTTTTGTTGTTCTAGAAAGTGCGTGTTCATTCTCGCTCCGAGTGCGCTACGCTCGAACTTTCTCCGCCGAATCTTCCAGATATTAGCGAGTTTTAGTAGACCGTGTTTCCCGCTCCGCTAAGCCCCTCCGCTACCCGGAACTCTACAGCCAAGGCCATCGGCGCGCAGGCGCAGTGGCGGATTCCTCGTAGCGGAGGGCTAGCGGAGCGGGAAACACGGTCTACTAAAACTCCCTAGTGACTCGCCTTAGATAAGAGGCCGCCCGCGACCTTGTCGAGTCAGTCTCGCCCCAGCGGTCGACTCTGGTGTTACGCCGACTTCGACGCCCGCGACGCTCTGTTATTATCTTTTGTACCATTTTATTTTTGGCACAAGTTCGCCACATTAAACGTTTATTTCTACCTGTTTATTTCTTGTTTTTGGTCACCACCCGGTGACAATATTGTCATTGCGTAGCATCTCACAGACAGCTTCTTGTATTTCCGAGACGCGAGTGTTGGAGATGAGGTTCATTGTAGTCTCGTATTACAAAGTAGCGCCAAATAAGTCTCCGTTCATCCTCCCCAAAAGCGTGTGTTATAAACAAATAATTCTTACTTCGAAAGAAGATACAAAGATAAAAGGTTTTGAAGGACGTCGGTATGTGACCGGCCTTGTAAGCATTCCTAAAAAAAAACAAAAAAAAAACAATTTACATAGGTAACCTGAGTTGTCTTTTTTATATTTCAAGCTTTCCTTATTAAACATAAAATGTGGCGTTCATCGCCCACGACAATGAATGAACACCATTAGCGATGTCGGTCGAATGTGTTAGCCATTATCAATATATTATCAACGATATGAGTTTTTTTTTGTTTGTTTCTTAACATGAGTGTCATCTGTTTCAAACGAAAACAGTTCAATCGGTCCAGATTTCAACTCTTTCTTGAAAACAAAAGTAAGCCAGGCTGGAGAGTTTATCTTTTCAGCACTATAGATGTTTGTGTGATGAATCATATAGGGAAGGCCTGTGAACTACCCCCTTTTCATCGATTGAATGTCATTATTCTAGTATTACGACCACTCAAAAATTTTCTCCGAGCCCGACTACGCATTGACTGGGCACGAGGGCCGGTCGAACACTGACGCAGCGGTCGTATCCAATCAGCGTCTGTGCTCGATCTCACTTTGATGACGTCGAAACGCTAGTGCACAGGCTTTGACTATTCTAGGTGGTGTTGGTCACGTGCGAACCCGTCTTAAGAAGAATTCTCTTGGTGGATCTGGAGTGATACAAAAGCACTCCATGCTCGCGCCTTCAGTGCAGTCAAGATGCGAGCGCGCGCTTGTGCGCCCGATAAGATACCGCTCCCAATCCACCGATGGGATCTCCAATTAGTGTAACCGTATATTACCTGCAAAAGGGCATATGTTGAGGCATACGCAGAGTTGGTCCGTGACGGGTGTGCCATCAATGCGATGTCCGCATCATCGAAGGCTCCTCCTCGCAGGAGGTCCACTTTTCCCTGTTGCGCCTCTTCAGCTGGCGTACCGAGGACAACAACCTGAATAGTAGAGAGAGAGTAAATAACATTTGACAGCGAGCTCTATTCCAATAGTCCTATATTGCATAGAACGTAGTTTAAACAGTCATCCATATTTCACAAAATGCACTATATTGGCGCGGAGTGGCGATCCGCTCATAGGAATCTCTTTTTTTAGGCTGAAAGGATAGCGTGGTTCGATGACTGATGTGTCAGCGGCCCCTTCGTGTTTCTGTCTGGCAAGATATAGATTATTAGGCGAAATGGCCGATAGGATGTGCGCAAATTTCAGGGATATTTTTTTTTCGGTATAACGTTGTTACTTTAGCCAAAGGAGAGAAAGAAGAAACATAAGTTTTAAGTCAGCATGGTCAGCACCACTGATCTCTATACACTGGTCAGCCCCCTTGTCCGTCCGTCTGTGTGTCTCCTCCTTTTTTGTCGTTGTCTTTTATGCGCTATTGCTGCTATTATTTTAGGGAGTCGTTCGGGGGTTTGAAGAACAACCTGTTTTAAATGCGAGAGCATTTATTTGCAGAGGAACTTTGGCTTGGGCTTGGTGGCTGCACCATCATGCGGTTCGCTCACAGCCCGCTCGTCTTTGCTCTGCAGGTATTACTCGCTTCTGTCTCCTGCTCGGAGGCACAGTTAACAAACGCCCTTGTCTTTCAGCATCAAGCAAGGGCCAGATGCTGCGACAATCTTTGGAACGACAACGCACATGCCAAGTTTCCTGCTGAAGCACCGGCCACCTACCAGTCATCGTTCAAAAGAGCGTCATTTTTTACGTCACACCAGGAACACGTATTAGCCGCAGCGCAGCACGGACCGCTGCTTGGGCTTGGTGGCTGCGCTACGATACGGTTCGCTCACAGCCCGCTCGTCTTTGCTCTGCACGTGCGTACTTCTATCACTTTGTTTGCAAAAAATAAATTAAAATGTTTGTTTAGTACAGCTGCCGAGCCCAGGGTGCTGTGTTGAAATTGTTTTCGAATGCTCTGAAGTAATTAACTAACCTGATCATCTTGAAAAAAAAAAAAAAAATCTCGGACTCTACAGCGAAACTCGTACGACCCGCAGTACTAGTTCCCAGTGTACCGCGCTTTTTTTTTTCAAAGTCCTTGCGGCTTCAGCTAAAATTGACGCTGGACAAGACGCTCTGATTATAAAACTTCAATCAATTGAAACTGGCATATTGGTGACGAACGGAAAGAAACTGTGACCTCTCAAATACGATGGCTCCAGCAAAATCAGAGCCTTGCACCCTTCCTGCTTTCCGTGATGATGTTCGCAGTATCAATTCGATGACTGTCAAGACTGCACACAAACTTGCAGATTTGACGGCGCGTGTTGCTGATGCTGAAAATCGATCTTGTCGAAACAATATCATTCTTTGAACCTTGGAAGGAATGGGAGCACCTTATTGCTAAACACTGCTCTCGGCCTCTTGATATACAGATTGATCCAAACTCTATCGAGCGCTCTCATTGCATTGGCAAACTTTGTCAAGGAAATAATAGACCTGTAATCATCTTATTTGCATCCTTCAAAATAAGAAAACATATTCCGTCAAAGGGATTCAGATATAAGAGCACTCATTAGAGCGTGAGTGAAAACTTTTCACCTAAAACCCATCTGGCCCGCAGACAAATCATATATTTTGCTTGCTCACACCACCTCTTTTCAACTCCGGTACAATCACCTCGCCATTGGAAACTCGCATTATATTTTTGACTCAAGTTAAAAAGTTCAATCAATAGCAAAAATTATCAGTACCTCAATTCTCAACTACTGTTAAGGCGACTACAAACCAGAGCCCCCTCAACCTATCTTTTCTTATTACTACTATTCGAAGCATTATTCCGAAACCCGAAAAAGTATGTAGTCTAATTTCCTCTACAGACTGTTGCAATGTCGTCCTCACAGGAACATGGCATTTCTCTTGTATTGACGATGCAGAGGAACTTCCGGGTTCTTCCGGAAACAAACTTTTCCGTATAGACAGAACAATCAGTAGGGGTTGTGAGAAGGGGAGGGGGGGGGGTTAATAGTTAAAGAGCATATCGCCTGCACCCTTATCAATATATGCCATCTTCCTTGAAATTTTCTGGTTACGTTGCATCTATGCTACTTCCGCCATCCTCGTTGGGGTATGCTGCCGCCCTCCTAGCAGTGACATATTCTTCCCATCATACGTCAATGAGTGCCTAAACTTTTTACTAACAAATTTCCTTCGTCCAAGTTTTTGCTCTTTGGAGACTTGAACCATTCAGGTATTCAGTGGTCAGATGTATCGATACTATCAGCCGCCTACCCAACCAAAATGTCTTGGATTCATTGACGTTTGTCATAATTTCAATTCTCGCAGGTCGTCAATGGGCCGCTAGAACTACAACGCATTCATCCAACATACTCGATCTGATCTTGACATCTGAGCCTGATAGCTTAACATCTATCACAATTCTTCGCGAAATCACTCTGATCACAAAGTAATTCACTCCATCTATAACTTTCCTCTTTCGCGCCACCTATAACTCTACGAAAATTGTGATTATAGTAACGCGGAATGGGATGGAGGGGGGGGGGGGGGGGGGGGGAGTGTACTTTCCTTGCATTGTTTGAAAAGGATTTTGGGAATTTTTTGTTAACAAAAAAGTAAAATCTTCGCAAATAAAATACGGCAACTTGTCGAGCAACAAATACCATCGATAGGCATACAAAGTAATTCATCTCCAACATGGTTTAACACCAAACTAAAGCGCTTGAATAATAAAAAGATGCGTGCATTAGGAAGGCTACGATGTCGGGATCAGCTCAATCATGGGACTTGTATCACCAAATAGAGAACGTTTACATACATGATACCAAAAATACAACACTATTTTTTTAATGCGCTAGCATTAGAACGCTCATTTTGGCGATATCCCGGCGGTGTCTTTCGTTCACCAGCTACAGAGAGAGAGGGAGGAGGAGGGAGAGAGGGTAACGCGTACAACGCTCCCATTGGTCCGAAGCGCTGACGTCAGCACACGCCAAACTCTCCCCTTCCTTCTCTCTCTCTCCCCGTAGCTGACAAACTGAAAGACACCGCCGGGTTTTCGTCAAAACGAGTCCTTTGGTTTCGTCACAATCACGCGCACAGCTGGCGCGGAGCCGGAGAGGAGGAGGCGCCGCGCAACACCCCCTTGATAACAAAGCCTTAGTACTCAATAAGATCGCGTCATATGAGAAAACGAACGCAGGACACAGATCGGAAAAGAGTGCCGCGTCTACGCTCGGCTTTGAGTCAAAGTTTGAGCCAAACGTAAACGTAATCGTCGTGTCCAATCTGGGAAGCGTTTGCCTTTTCTCATGACGCCATCTCATTCAGCACTACGGCTTTGTTATCAAGGGGCTGTTGTGCCGCGGCGCGGTGGAATGAGAGCACAGTGGCTTCACTAGGGTCATCGGCACGAGGTGGGCGGCAGCCCACCTCGATCCCCCTCCCCTCCCCTCTCGTGGCCCGCCTTTCCCTGCCCAGCTGCACCCCTGAGCGCTGCACCTGGGGCGGTTCACCCTCCACATCCCACCCTTGTGACACCACCGTGCCCACATGCACAATTGCCGCTCTGCCGTCGGCGGTTGTTCTTCGCTCTGGGTTTCCGTAGTAGCGGTGCATGGGCTGTTGTGTGTGTGTGTAGTTAAAGCGATGGATGTGGCTCACTCCACGAGTGGTATGGTTGCAGTTACTTCTCCGACAGGTATAGATGCGGTTCTTTCCACGAGTGATATGGGAGGACCGTATCTAAGGGCGTCGACGCACTCTGACAGGCAGAGAGTACAGAAAAGGTTTTCAAATATTACAGGAGCATCCAGTGGAGGACTCTTGTTGAATCCGTTAGCATAACCCTTAAAAGACGCCACACAAGTAACCCGCTTTGGGAAACGCTAACACTCACCCCATAACAAGGCCATAAAGAGGCAGCAAAAAATAGAGGAAGCAAAAGAGAAAGTCTAAAGAAAAAAGTGAAGAGGTCAGCGTCAGCGTTTCCCATAGGGGAACGTGTATGGCGTTTCTAAAGGTCATGCTAACGCCAAACACACCCCGCTACAGGGCACCTATCGTCTGCGTCGCTGCCCGCCGTAGACAATGGCAAAATTCTTAGCCTTATTTTTTAAAGAAAGAGAGCTAAGTTTTGTAATTTTACAAGAAAACCCGACCTGGGAAATAGACCTTTGACGAAAAGTTTAGATTGCTACGTGCAGGCGTCGATTTTAACGGTCTATTTTAGATCGAGCCTGGTGACCTGGATCACCCTATATTAAAGGAAGCAAGTTGAGAGTCAGCGCGGTGTATGTCTTTTCATCTCAGGGTTTTTCTAATTTGTAATTGTTCAGCTGATCCTATTCAATTATGCACGAACTACCTCAAGTCAAACCTGTAGTACAACTTGCGTATCATCCAAAATTATGGAACATATCATCTACTCCCATCCGGCGCGTTTTTTTTTGGAAACTAGTAATTTTTGTTATTTGTCGCAACATGAATCCAGGAAAGGGTTTTCATGCGAAACGCAACTTACCCATAATTTGCATATCAACCTCGGTAACAATATTCAAACAGACGTCATTTTCCTAGATTTCGCTAAAAGCATTTGACAAGGTTCCCCATCGACATCTAATGTTTAAACATTCGTAACTTAGCTTAAGGCCCGTTCACACTCTTGCGACCTCTTAAACCTTGGTTCCTTAAAACTTCTTAAACCAGAGAACACACTGGCGCCATCTATTGGGAAGCAGTGTAAACTCGGCGGTCCGGCATATATTTTTTTTTTTTATTTCTCGCGCATTATCCTTTCTTTTTTGGCTCGAAAAACTTTTGTCAATGTTATAAACGAGCCTTTCTATGAGTATTACGCACATTTGACCTCGGAAATCCCGCAAAACCTTCGCTCTTGTGAAATGCAGTTCCAGGGTCACCGAATAGATGGCGCCACCATGCCAGTGTGTTCCCTTATTCTAAAAACATTTAAGAAGTTTTAAGAGATCTCGTCTCTCTCTCAGTCGTACTCGGTCGCAAGAGTGTGAACGGGCCAATAACCTGGATTGGCAATTTCTTGCAAGATCGGAAACAGTTTGTACACATTGATAACTGCTCCTCTCATTACGCACCCGTCTCCTCCGGCGTGCTCGAGGGCACGGTCTTAGGCCCGATTCTTTTCCTGATTTATATTAGTGACTTGCCTTCTATTTCCTCCCATATCCGCCTGTTTCCCGACGATTGTGATGTGTATCGTGACATTACTAATAAGACAGATCGGGCATTACTTCAAAATGATCTCAACACCGTTCATACATGGGGCCACCTCTGGCAAATGTCTTTAAAAATTAATCAGTGTACGTTATAGTTTCATTCAATGGCCTTTAAACCCACGGACGTATAGCAATGCTCTCAATGGGACCATCACTCCATCAGCATCGAGTTATGAATAGTCAGGGGTACACTTCTATGGCAACCTATCTTAGGCATTCATGTTAACCACGTCATCTTCGAATGTAGTCGGTAAACGTTACGTAAACATGACGTTTACCGAATGTAATCGGTAAACGCAGTCTGAGTTAAATATTACCTCAGATTCGCACCATCGAACCTATAACGTGCAGCCTACAAAACGTTCATTCGACCAAAGCTAGAGTATGCTGCCGTGATCAATATATGCGACCCATGCCAGAGTTACGTTAGTCATCAACAAGAAGAAGTTGAAAATGGCGCAGTCAGGTTCATGTTCTTTAATTATTTATACGAAAGACGTGTCACGGGTTTACGAGCGTGTAGATTTAGATGATCTATCATTTAGACAAAGGTTTTTTTACACTATCACTGTTTCACAAGTTCTATTATCATTTTCAACCAAACGCATAATATATCAGCCCATCTCCACATAACCGCTATCGGACAAGTCATCAATTTAGTGTAGTGCGCCCAAAGACAAAAAAAAAGGAACCTCGTCCGCTTCATTTTTTCCGCGCGCAGCTAAAAAGTAAAATGACCTTCCCCACAGCGTTGTTTCTTTATCTAACCAAATTCACTTCAAAAAGCAGCTGAGCTAAACCATGCTCCCTGCTGCTTCATAGTCAACAAGTGTTCTTACAGTGTGTACATCGGTTTTGTTCGGTTTTATCTGCCCATGTAGCTATCTTGCGTCACCTTTTCTTTATATTGTTCCCGCTTACTTTTTTTCTCACTAACACGAGTGATTTTACCTTGTGTAATGCACTCCCTGAAAGGGTCTATAAAATCCAAGCCAACTGCGACGTTGGCTGGGATTTTGTGTGTGCGTAAGTGAGAACGAGTTAGACCACATAAGAAAAAAAAACCTCTTGGCTTTAAGGGAACGTGGGAAGTTGTTGAGAAGAGCGAACGCATTATAAGAAATGTAGCGCTAATATTAATAATAATGAAACCTTGAGAGAGACATCATAATATAAACACCGCGACAAGCAGAAATAAAATACCGACGACACCAAAGGTGTCGCCTTGTCCTTTATTTCATTTCTTCTTGTTTCAGGGTTTAGATTATGATGTTTCCCAACCAGCCCGCCTGCACACTTTCGCTTCCTTGAGATGGAGTAGTGTAGAAGTGCGAACACACCGTGGGTGCGACTGAGGCATGTGCCAGGAACCACGAGAACGACGCCGATGGGCGCGCAGACAGCACGTGGAGGACACTTCTAATCAGTTCTACTCTGAGCTAATTTCTTCAGGGACGATACCCAGATATTAACTTCTGCTTGATATTTCAGAACAGACAGCCGAAGAGTAGCTAAGCTGGATAAATCGGTTTTCTATGCAACATTTTTTTTTGTACGTCTATAATTAACTAGGAGACTCAAAAACGTTCAGCCTTTCCACTCTGGCGGCGAAGGAAGACCAGCGGAGTTGTACAATTGAAAGTAATGGCCGGCCGCAAAAAAAAGGCTGCCTCCATCTATAAGCGACGGCGGCAACCAGATACGTGGCTTGCCGCCGTCGCTCACAGATGGCGGTAGGTGTCCAGAGTTTGGTGTCTTCATTTCTTTGCGGGAAACACGATCCTTGGGAAACTAGACCTTAACAGCTCCGCTGTAATAAAACACAAAGTCAGACACGGGGAAGCAAAATTTCATACAGTGCACGCACTTTTCCAGTGAGCGATGAATTTTCTTGAAGCACTTGCATCACACCAATGCCGGCAGCCACCGCACACTCGGCGATCAGGTTGTGGCCGCAGGCATGTCCGATTTCAGGAAGGGCATCATATTCGCACATGAAAACGACCACTGGTCCTTTTCCTGGTCATTGGGAAAAATGCTTGTAAAGTAAATGGAAGTCCCCCGACACTGACTGCACGAAGTACGGTAGAAAAAGTAAAACCCTGTTTTTTTTGTCCCGTGTAAATACAATACGCATCACAAAAATCTAAAACTCCGTATAAATCGGCCGCTAGCGGCCGATTTACAAGGAGTTTTGGGTTTTTATACGTATAGAATACGAAAATGTAAGAACATTACGTTACCTGTATGAAAGGTAAAACAGTGAATCAAAACTTTCATGAGCAGAAGTCCACCTAGACCTCATATTCCCCGTACAAAACGTGGCATGCCATTATGAGCATCTGCTAATTGTTTTCCGTAAAAAAACAAAAAAAAACATAAGCATTAAAGAAAATTCGCTCTGGTAACTTTATTTTTGCAAAACTAAATGCGACAGACACCTACAATGTCATTTCTTGGTTTGACCAATGCTGGGCTTAGGTGGGCGTCGGCTCATATAGAAATGTTGTATTACTGTTTCTTGCAGGTAACGTCATTTTCCAAAACATTCGCGTTCTCTCACTGTATAGTGTTACATTCATACGGAGTTTCAGCTTTCTACGCTTCATAGCTTATTAACGCGGGCGCGAAAATCAAGGTTTGGCTTTGTCGCTGCCGTAGCAACGTGACGCAAAGATAAACTTGTCATTTTAGTTGGACATTTTGGTCAGTGACCGCCTAATAAAAAGGCCCGCCTTATTATGCTTTCGTTCTTCGTATCGACTAATGCCGCAGCGGAGCGATAACAAGACTCGCCCTGCCTTTCTTAAGCTGTCACATGACTGTAGCTACCATAGATCCATTCCAACGGATCCGCATTTCGCTCTCAGAAGGAACACATGCCTAAAGAATTAGAGTGTCGATGCGGGCGAGTTGGTCCATCTTCAAGCAATAAACAGCGCGCAAAACAATAAAGACGGGAGGGAAGAAGTACACAGGACAAGATATTAGAGAGTTTTCGTAGATCGTTCCCATGACTCCGATAACGATACCCGATACTCCGCCACCGCCTCCCTTGTGCATGCATAGTATCGTTATCGGGGCTATCGGAGGTATCGGAACGATCTGCTAAAACTCTCTATTAAAAAACAGCGCAAAAATAACGGGACACAGAGTAGAAGAAGGACACAGGACATACGCTGAGTAGAAGTAGGAGACAAAGTAGAAGGACACATATACGTGTCCTTCTTCTACTTTGTGTCCCGTCCTTTTTGCGCTGTTTTCTAATATGTCGTTCAACCAACCAGCCCAGCAAGCTATTCTGTTCAGTACACAGGACGATCGCTGAACAAACAACTAAATATTTGTTGAAAAAAAAAAACGAAGTAAATTACCAAACTACCACTAACGCGGCCAAAAAGGCTACCTTTTTTTTGTGCAAATAAATGGAAGTTTGGTTAAGTAGGTTTGTTTTCCCCCGCTTATTTATTTCGTACGCCTCTTGCTCCCTGGCCTGCCTCTGCGGAGGACAGCGGGGCGCGCTGTTTGTAGGAATGCGCTGCGTGTACGAATGCTTTCGGATTCCTACACGTAAGCAGTCTTAAGGGTCCGTATTTTTGTTTATAAAAGACCTTCAACGATTTCTCTTTCCCTCCTTTCGTTCGTTCTTTTAACAAACTTCGCAGAATCTAAAAATGGTTCGCAACTGCGACGCTTACAATGCCCCCCCCCCCCCCCCCCCCCCGTTTCCTTCCCGCTATGTTATGTACAGCAAGCCTGTACTCCCCCGTCCCGCCATTAAAACGACGTCCCGTCTGTCCGATAAAAACACGACGCCGACTGAAAGGAATTTCGCAGACCACTTTTTATAAATACGACCACAACTGAAAGGAATTTTGTAGACCACTGTAGCGTACGAAATTCCTTTCAGTTCGGGTCGTGTTTATGTCGGACAGGCGGGACGTCGTTTTAATGATAGAGCGAGGGAGTACAGACTCGCTGTACATAACGATTTGAAGGGAGGGGGGGGGGGGCATCTCTCGGGGCATTGTAAAGGCCCGTTCACACACTTCCGTTTAACTCCGACCGACTAAGACAAGACCGATTTTCAAGCCTCGTAGGACGGCTCACGACCAGATGCGGAGCGGTCATATGCCGTTACAGAAGGCTTAAAAAGGCTCGAGGCCCACCTAAGCACTTCTTATGAGTTGTGAATGCAAAAGCATGAACGTCGCTCTTGCGCGCGTTCCCGTGAAGTCGAAGCGCCGCGCTCCGGGGTATGCTCGAGCCGGCCCTCTCTGGAAGGCCCCGCCAGCCAAACGCTTCCTTTTCCCGACGCGCTCTGGCGCGGGCTCGTAGCGCCACGGGGTGGCTCTCCTTGAAACTGACGCGCCTCGGCCAATGGGAGCCTCGTTCCTTGAAACCGTGACACGCGCGCCAGCCATTGGGAGCCCCATCCATCAGATTTTGGCTTCACTCGGAGAGGGGAATTTACCTGCCGTTTGGCTCGGCTTTTTTTGCGCGGCTTCAAAGCTGAGAGCCGTTAGATCGCGGCTTCAGTCAACACCTCCTAGAAGACAAGGCCATAGCGCTCTGAGAGGTTACGTCACAATGGTGGAGGAAGGAAGTCCATGGCGCAACTACGTGAGAATACGCTATCGACGTGAAAAAAAATGTTCCTTGACGAGCGGCGCGGTGGTGTTCGTTCATGCGCGTTTATTCGCCATTAATATACGTTTTAAAGGCGCAGTCTTGTACAATTTATTATATATATATAATATAAACGTAATATACAACGCGCTACCAAGGTTGAGAGTACCAAATTTATATTTATGAGTATCCCCGTAATCGCGGGACTACGTGCAGTTCCGCAGCACCCCACACTTTTCGAAAGGACCGGCTGCGATGCTGCCAACGTTGCATGCTGCCGATGCCACATGGCTCCGATTCTGGTAAATTTACGTTGTGTGTGTGCTGCTGACTGTCTGAAAAGGAACGCTGAGACATCTCAGAAGGGAAGCAAACCGAAAAGAAATCCAGTCGTTGTCGCAGGAAGCGCACACCAGCAAGAGATGGGTCGACAACGTTAAGCCTTTCGTCGCCGCTGCTGTCATGTGTGGTACTTTTGAGACTTGTTTCCCGTCGTATTTCTGTCATCACCGTAGTCTCGGGTAGGTTTTTTTTTTTTTTTTTTTTTTTTGTGTTCGCTTGGATACTACGGCATTTACGTGGATTCGTGAAACAAGTCCTGGCTACGGTTTGAGTGACGTATGACAACTAGCCAACGAAGACTCTGGTCGATTAATCAATAGACCTCTCTCGACAGAGAGAGGCTTCTTTGGCTTCGTGTTCAAATGTGTTCGTCACGAATATTGTGGGACGTATGGATACGATCGACAGGTGAGAAACAACTTATTTACGGGCTTTCTTGGTCATGTAGGACGCAAGTAAAATGCTGCAATCGTTTTTGTTTTAAATCGCATGATAGATTGCAATTTTGTTCTTTGTCGTTATTCGTATGCAGTTGCGTCGACATTTGTAAATAGACAGTGTCTATTTAATCACACAAGAAGTTTGTGTGATTATTGAAAGTGTGTTGTTTGTGGTTCTGTGTTTATTTATAGTAAGGTTATTGTATTGCCTTTACCGCGTTTATACTAGAATCTTAACTATTAAGGTAATAGTATTATTATATACAAAATAAGTTATGTTTTGTTCTAAGGCAGCTCGAGCCCATAGGGAGAGGTAAATTATAGACTAAGTAGTACGTTTAGTACACCTGCCACACGGAAAAGTTAATATATTTTCATTCAGTCATATAGGATTTAATCAGCTCGCGGTCTTGAGTGATTATACCAGCGCCGCAAGCGGATTTGTCGACCCCATAATGTCATTCGATCGAAATTACATTAATTTTGCCATGTGGCCGGGGTATGATGCAAGAATTCAGTGACTGCACGCAATAACGTCGCTTACATGATCGTGAGAAACACTTGCCTTGTCCGCGTTGACTGTATACGTCTACCTGATTTTTAACTGTTCTGTTTTGCTGTTTCCAAATCACTGCGTGTCTCGCCATTTTGTCGAAGTATTTCTGTATAAAATATGCATTCCTACAACAATAATTGCATGACTCAATCACATTTTTCTATAGACGTCTTATACGCATACCTCGTGCCATTTCGTACCGATTATTTAGCGGCGTAATATTTTGCTCGTGTAATAAAATGTTTTCTAGACCCGTTGCTATGTGCACCTTTCATTTTAGCTAATATGACACGCGTATGTGACTAAAAACGCGTTACGACGGTCGATCCACGCGCGTTGCCTTCGCTTCGACGCGCGTCCCCGATAGCCTTCCCTTGCGACGTCACGAGAAGAGCGCTACCGCCTTGTCTTCTAGGAGGTGTTGCTTCAGTTCGCTCCATTGGGAGAGGGGAGTTTAGCTGCCGTTTGCCTTCAAAGCTGATGACGTCAGCTTGCTCCATGCTTTCGCATGAAAACCGGTCTTATCTCAGTCGGTCGTAGTCGAGCGCAACTTTGTGAACGAGCCGTAAGCGTTGCGGTTGCGAACCGCTTTTAGATTTCACGAAGTTTGTGAACAGAGCGAATGAAAACTGGGAGAGAGAAATCGTTGAAACTTAATTTTTTTATTAAAAAAGCGGGTGAAAAGTGTGCGAGCATGCCGTCTGTTTTTCTGCTGGATAATGAATTGTCTTATTCAGATGGCTTCATATAAGATTGCCGATGTGTTAACGGTTTATGGCCTGTTATCGGTATGGTGAACGACAATCTGGCTGAGTGAATGTTTTTTTTTTCAATAAAGTCATTTGTAAGTGACTCCTGTCCTTGTAGTACGTGTTTCTTGTTTCGTTCGTGGTTCAGTTCGTGCTTTTAACCTTTGAAATGGTATGAACCAACTACAACCAACCAGGGATGCGCAGAGGTACTCCAAAAATTATTCGGGAATACAAATCCTGTGATACATGTGTTTTAAGGCCCAAAATACAGGTTCTGAGATACGTTTGTCTTTTATGCAACGGGATATTCCTGAGATACTTCCGCAAAATAAGCGAGAAAGTATTCTGGAATACGGATACAGATACCTATAGACAGACCTTTATTCCCTGTAGGGTGTTACGTAAGCAGGGTGTAGTTCGTAGCGATTGCGAATGGTAAGTTATGCTTGTGTCCCTCTTTTTGTGCTATTTTATGCACTACCCCTAGCTCGAACTCTTTATTTATGGTTAATGCCTAAGACGTGTCACCCCCGTTGAACCACATAGTTACAGAACGGTAAAGACCACGTACCATGCTTGACAAAAGGCTTCTGCCCGAAATGAACCCAGTTTTGCTGTGAGGGAACATCTCCAACTGTCATCTTATATGCTTCTGAGTCGCCCATAGTGTGAGGAGATTCGACAACAGAGCCGTATATCTTTTCTCCTATCAACTCCTTTACGCTGTTCGCTCTGCTCAATTGGAAAGAGTGGAGGGCTTTGTAAGAGGAGCTGATTTTGTTATTCTTGCAAGTAACCTTCTTTACACTACAGCTTTTTTTTATGTTGGTGACTGAGATTGATTATGTTTAGGGTTCTGCGCTTTCGGTTTTTATTTTTTTTTTTTCAAAATTCGGCGTACTTTTTTCGGTGTTAATTTTAAAATTCAAGTTTTGGTTTCTTTCGGTGTATATATATTTTTGAAAAGTTTACTGTGTTTTTGTTTCGGTGAATATGAAAGAAACATCATCGGAACAGATGATCCTAGTAGCTTTCATATTTTTGATCACTCAAAGAATGGTCTTCGCTGCGATTTCCGTCAGAACACACCTCAAAATCGCGGAATTCGCGGGCATAATCTTCAGCGCGCTTCTTTTTCCTTCCCCTTCTGACGACGTGACCGTCTGAGTTGATGACCGTACAGGAACCAGCGGAATGGCAAAACAAATTCATTGTATTTATGTTCTCAACCACAGAGAAGTTTGAGGGAGGATGCTAAGAAAGGTATTAACGACTTTCCCCGATGTCCCCTTAAGTGCATGAAGCGATAAAACCTTATAGTAGCCCACATCTGAACTGTTTATTTAGGACCGGAAACTTGACACACTAAGCCCGATCACAGATAGGACACAGATGTCCCGCGAAGGCCAATCCAAGACCTTTTTTGTTGCATGTTGAACCTTGGAAGAGGGCAATCACGAAGACGTCACACAATGTCGAACCTTACAAAGCCCCCTCTCCCCCCCCCCCCCCCCCGCCCCCCCTTCGACGAGGCCCTAAAAACATACTTTTGTCGTTTTTTCATCGGTTTAAACCGAAAACGCCGAACCTACAAACTTATTTTTTTTTCGGTTAAAGCCGAATTTCCGAAAATGGATTCGGCGTACTTTTATCGTTTTTTTTTATCGGTTTAAACCGAAAACTCCGAACCCTAAATGTTATAAGGCGGGTTCATATTATAAATTCTGAAGCAACTTACACCAAGTCGATGTTTTTATGTTTTAAATTTATCTTAAAAAGTGCAACAAATGTAACGAGATGCCTAAGTCTGGCAAAGTATCGCAATACAAGCGATACATTGTAAACATATTTCACTACTGAGATACTAATGCATTTTTTTCAAATGTATCTCTATACACACATACAGATATTCGAAAGTCTCTCAAAGTTACTATCGCGATACATTTGCATCACGATACTGCCCAGCCCTGCACCCAACCAAAGTTTCATTGCTTCACCTGCCAACGACCATAGAGGAATATAAGATAAATAAGCAGGGTAAAAACGGATGCGTACGCCCAAATTCTCTTTACTTGCACACACACACACACAAAAAAAAAAAGAGATAGCCTACTTGGGTACGTTTGGACACTATGGTGACTTCGCGGTTTTTTTCCTTGGGTGTTTCTTAATAAATATTTAGTTGTCAGTTACGGACAACCAGCCAGTTTTAATGGAGTGAAGGGCTCGTTATCAGGACACGTTTTCTGCGGACACAGCATTTGCTGTACCCGAAGTGGAGGTTTTCCTCCAATAGGCCGTCTGCTTTGGCACGTCTTTTTCTTCTTTTCTTTTTCGTGGGGAAGGTTTCGCTCTTCTTGCGTCTTTGTACAGAGGCTTTCCAAAGACGCCTGCTCACCACGTGGGTCCGTACGGCCACTCACACGCCCTGCTGGCTTTGGTCGAGGCCTGCGTTATTGTCGTCGGTCCCCAATCTCCAGAAAACAAGAGAGGGGAGCAGACGACATAGAAAAGGCGAGTAGGAAAGCCGTGCCGTTTGCGTGGTTGATGTCCTCACCGAAAATGCGCGCACGCTCTGCAAACAGGACAGAGTAGGTGCCGTGCGCGTCGTCTGCTGTCTCCTGTTTGGACTTCCCCTTTAGTGCACCGGCTTGTCTGTGTTTTTTTACGCTCATCGTTGCATTTTTGAACTGTTAAAATATTTCTTTGTGATACTCTTCCTCTAACTTGGTAACGATTCCTCTATCCACACTGTCAATTATAAGGTAAAAGTTCAAAAATGTATGAACCGATGCAATGCAATATTAACTTCTTTTTTTATATATTTCTGTGATCAATTTATTAAGTACGCAGTCAAGAAGGTTTTATGCATCGGGCCTTCTCAGAAATTTGTTTTCTTAAATATTGTTAATGTGATATACGTCGACATTTTTAAATACAAAGCTAGAGAACTCAGGAATTGTGGTTTTAGTTTTGGTTGAATACCTGGAACGATAAAATAATTTATTTTTTGGAATTGCAATGTTTATTACGTAGATGGTACTATCAATGTTAATGACCCATACTAATTCATGACTATCAAACAGATGAGGTTTAAACTATATAAACATTCACAAAAACGTAAATAAGGCGCACTGAAAACGAGGGATTAAAAAAATAGAACAGTGCTAGTTGAAATTTGTGTGGAAAATAAGCGTAGGAAAGCATATACTTTAGTGTAAACCGCTTTAGTAGTCTTCAGAGCTGACATGTAAATTCGAATAAAAGTGACAGGACGACAAGTTATTTTGCATCTTGTTTCGAACGTCCTTGTGTAGCGGTAACCGCATTTCATTTTTAACACATAATAACAAAAAAAAAACAACAATAATTTAACTATATTCAAATTCAAGTGCCAGCACACATAGTTGTAATATAGCCTATACCTCCTTGCTAATATCTGATACTTGATAATTGATTTGTTAAGGACATAGGTTTTATTGAAAGAAAAAAAAAAAGATTGCAAATTGGCCTGCAATCGTGCTGCAACGTGAAACGTTCTTGGTTTAGCGCTACTAACCTCCAAGCATTTCTTCTCGCGCTCTTCCTCCAGGACTCTCCACTCTTTTCCACCCCATTGAGTCCTCTCCACCCGATAGCCCGCTAAATTTAGGTGGGAAAATTATGACGATGTCTTGTACACACAAATTCAGTTTCCTCTCTAAATGTTTCTGCTAAATTTAGCGGGAAAATTCCCGGTTACGCTTTTTTAGGCTGCACTTAATCTGAAAACCTAGCCTATAAACGTTTCACGTTAAAAGCATATTTTTGTTTTGTAAAATATGTGTTTTATTTGTTGGCCTTCGTGCTTGAGACGATTACGCATCTATCGTCTGAGGCATTCCAGTATACAATATCAGTATAAATAACAAAAGCACCGCCGTCTTTTTTTTTTTTAATTTGATATTGCCTTAAAGCCTTCAGAAAGAAGCTTTGAACATTCCTACATCAGGCTAGCAGCTTTTGGAAACTAAATATATTATTTTTTTAAGCCATACACACATTATCATTGAATTAATCGGAAATAAAAAAGTTGGAACAATAATAAATATATTAAACAACATTATAATAAGAGCAAAATATTTTACCCCCGAACTCCGCTCGAAATGCTGTTGGTAAGATATAATTCTTCTGTACTGTAAAACCTTCACATTCCAAGAAATCGGAAATTCGTTTGTGGGCCTTGAATTCTTTCAAAGCAGTCTCGGGGTTGTTCCACAGGTATCGGCCAAGTTCATTAAGAGAATCCGCTTTGTCATCCACAATATCGCTTACAATTTTCATGTAATGAGCCATCTGAAAAAAAAAAGTATATAAATATATTTATGTTGCAATGTTTTTTTAACATACAATGTGTTTAATGTGTCGTTTTTATGAAAGAAATCGCCATGAACAAGCGTCGTGAACGAGCGTCATGAGCAATCGTCATGAACGAGCGTCATGAACGAGAGACACGCTAGGTGCGGTACACAATCCAGCTCCCCCCTAAATTTAGCGCGTAAATTGACGTCGTGGTGACGTCACGTAACCTAAACCCCAATGCAGTTTCCCCGCTAAGTTTAGCGGAGGAAATCGACGTCATGTCACCTGATGTCACGTGACCGAAAAGATAATCCATTTTCTACGCTAAATTTAGTGGGGCAGTTGACGATATGTGACCGACATACCAATCCAGTGACGTCAATTTCCCCTGCTAAATTTAGCGAAGAAATCGACGTCACGTCGCCTGATGTAAGGTGGTCAACAAAATGATTAAAAGAAATAATACAAAAATCCCATTTCTACGCCAAGTTTAGAGGGAAAAAATAGTAAAAACACAAAACATAAAATAATATGAAAGTAAAAAATAAGCGTGCATGGTGTGTATGAGACACGTTCTGTATTGGAATCCCAACACTTTAAAGGAGTATGATCAGCACAAAAGCATGCCGTGCAAATTGGTTGATTAGTCTCAAGACTGGATCAAAACCAGACAGAGTTATCCAGAGAACATGGAATCTTGTCTCCGGGATGAACGTGTCGTTGTAAATCTGGCCAACATCTCTTTGAGTAACAAAATAAAACAGAGCTAAAAAAAAAATACACGGGGTCAAGCAGATTAGAGACACAAACACAGCGCTGCTTGTGTCTCGGAATTTCTTTGTCCGAGAATCTCGAGAACCTGCGTGCCAACAGGCCAAAGGTATGCCCAAATATTAAGTCCTTTGGGCTCGATCATGTCTCCGCGGCGCAAACTATTGGTAGTAAAATTGGGAAGGAGAACGACAAGTCTGCGTTTCAGGCTGAGGCCTTCAGAATATCTAGATTGGTTGATGGGTCTTTTGAGCTTAATGTGAGGAACGAAATACAAAAAAATAGAGCAGGTAAAATATGGACTGCAGTAAAAGAGCTTGGTTTTGTTGAAAACAGATAAGACTAGTAGGTACGCCCACGGTCGGACTGGATACGCGCTATCGCTTCTTCCCTTGCGGCCTTTTCAGTCGCAGAAGAAAGCAGGAGCAGCATCAACGTGGAGGCGCTGCAAGCCAATTCTAGGTTACTCCACAGCGCATGCTCAGAGCGAGCTGCTACCTATTGCATCCCAAGTGCTCAGCAGCGAGGGGCTCAGTTATGGCCGCCACTGAACAGTTCCACCCTCCTAGTGAACGGTTAGCTCTGCGATGGTCTACTGTTGTGTTCCGAATCGCTATTCAAACTCTGGGAAGACTACTGGCGTGTCTTTTCACCAGTTGCCCAGCAATAAATCCCTAAGCTAAGTTAAAAAAAAAAAAAGATGTTAAGAATGAATATTGTTGTTACAAGCACCCAACTACGGTGTGTGCGTGAAGTCCTCTATTCCCTTAGTGGAGCATTTAGAAGATAATTGCTTTAATGGCGATCAAATGAAATGTTAGTTAGTAAGGTTGGTCAGAAAGAGAAATACATCAATAACGTAGATATGGCTTGTCATCGCACGTAAATTATTTAGGTGTATATTTCTCACCAGGCACGTAGCCAGGAGTTTGTTTCGGAAGGCGGCGCATGACAAAATGCTTTATGAGGGGGAGGGGGGACAGGAGTCCCCAGCAAGATGGAAGATTTCGGGAAGGGGGGGGGGGGGGGGGCGGGCCCGATGGGCCAGCTCCCTGGCTACGTGCCTGTTTCTCACACAATCTCTCCTGAAACCACCATATAAATTACATGGGAGCTAAAGCAAACCGAATGCTAGGATTTATCAAACGTAATTTTAAAGACTGTCCACGTGAAGTAAAAAATACCCTATAGCTCACTCCCATCAGGCCGATCCTCGAATATGCTTTCGAACTCTGGGATCCCCATCAGCAGTACCTGATGTTCCCTAATACACTTCCTTGGTGTTACCCAAGGAAGTATATTAGGCCCTTTTCAATGAGGGACTTAGCAATACTTACATAACAAGAAACAATAGAAATACGCGTTTCCTTGGAAATCTGGCTCATCTTTCTGTGGAAGAACTAGTGTACCCCACTCGTAACGCGGAACATTGGTATATGGTTGCGTGGAGAACAAACTACGACTCTCAGATGATTGGATATAGGATGCCTAAATTACTTGACGAATGAGATGATTGCGAGAAGGGTTTAATTAAAATATTATCGAAACAACTTTAAAAAATATTTCGGAAATACTGATGGGTAAAGTAGCAGTGTTTTTGTCCTTCATTTATTACTTCAAGATTTTTTTCTAGTTTGCTCGGTGTCTCTATTGAACATCCTGTTATTATGTCAGCTGTTCCTATGCCTCTGCAGTTAAGCTTATGTAGGGGGGCGAGGGCCTCGTCAAGCTGTACTTTTACAGCTTTTTTTCCTCGTCCTCCACCATCGATGTTTGTTGATGGAAATAAACAAAGCAATATTACTCGTAGATTAACATTGAGTGACTTGATAGCATCTTGATTAGTAGTCTTCCAGCCAAATTATTTGGAGTAGCACGATTCGAAACATTCACGTAGTATCTTTTGTCATTAAACCGTATCGGACACGCATATTGTACGCAACCCTTCGAGGATCGGCGAAATTGGTTTTCCCCGCGATGAATCGGAATTTGCGGATGTTGTTACTTACCTTGGAGCTCGGGTAGAGAGAGCACTGGAGCAAATTGCTATACTGTCTGTCGGAGCTTATGCCGCCTTTCCAAATGGCGGTCATTTACAACGGCTGTTGTTTCCCACTTGCCAGCTGGAGTCCTATTCGGCGCACAACTGGCGCCGACTCTCCTTCCGGACCACTGGGGTTGAAATTGTGTTCCAATATATTTGTCTGAAACAACTGTAGAGAGACTGTTGAAACATTTTTTTGGCTTAGAATAATTAGATGCATGTCTGTCTTAACTCGTTTCTTTTTTTTTTTTTCTCTTTTTTGAGGAGACGAAGATGTGGAACACCTCTTCGTCTCTTAGTCCTATCAAGTCCCTACAGGGACTTGATAGGACTTCGTCTCTTCGCCTATCAAGTCCCTACAGGCAGGCGGCCTCATGAGCTGGGTCTCTAGTTAAACTGGAAATTTCTGAGAGTGATTTCTCTACACATCCCCTAAGGGAGGAAAGGGGGGGGGGGTGTACGCCCCTCCCCCTTTCCTCCCTTCTGAGAAACAAGGGGGGGGTGTACACCCCCCTTGTTTCTCTGAAGGCACCCCTTTAATTCGCAACGACTCCTCTATTCTCAAGGCCCCCCTACCTAAAATTTGGACGCCCCCCTAATTTCGATTTCTTGGGAAACCCCTGTACAGCCCGGAAGTGGTTCTTCCAACCGCTAAACGAGGCCAGACCTGTTCGTTGCCACACTTGCCTTCAAACCTAAACACATCAGGAGGAGAACGCGGAGGGAAAACTTGCACCGCAGAACCCAGGAATCATGGGCTCGAATTACGCCGTCGCCCGTTTCAATCTGGATGAGCATCGTGCCAGCATGCTATATTTATCGCCCGCTCCGGAAACACCAGGCGCTTCTTGGAGCAGTTTATCTTTCCGATGCCTAAAAATCCAACAAAAAATTACTTGTGCGTGTATTCGCACAACGGAGATTTTCTCCACGGGAGCAGACGTCATCGCGATTCAAGGTCACGCGCGTATTAAGCCAACGTTGTTAAGAAAAGTTGGCTTTCATTCGGGGAAGTTAGGTGTAGATAACTCGTCAGCCTGGGTTGTGATCGGGGAGTCAAGACTCTGTACCACGTAGTTCGACCAGTAGGCCCAGGAATAGCACCAGAAGTGCCCAAAACGAACCATCTCGTGGCGGCGCTAAGTAAAGGGAGCACTTTGCCAAAATGTATGAAAATTTTTTTAATAAAGATAAAACAAAAATAAGTAAGCAGAAACGAGCCATTATACTTTGCGTGCGTGGAGAAGGCGTAAAGGTGCAAACTTCCGAGCTAAACTTCATGGCGCATTGATATTTGATAACGTGTTTGCGCCAAGTACCTTGGTATCCCGCATAAGACTTTCAGACGGTAATATTTATATCCGTTTCATTGCTATTAGACAATTTTAGTAGATGTTTTTTTTCGTCTCAACTCAGGCACGGCTGTGAAATAAAATTGTTTTCAATAAAAGAGGCGAGGCGTCAAGGGAGCGTGGCTCGTGGAGGCTACGCGGCTGACGTCATGCCCTCTCCTACCCTTCTATTCTCCATGGTTTTGCACCATTAGAGCGAACACAGTTGCCGCACAGCCACTCGCCTCCCTTCCCCCTCTCTTTGCCAAGACTGCCGTCTTCGTCATCACTGGAAGCTGAACCAAAGGTGGAATGGTGAGTGCTTGGGCTAGTTGGTGTCCCATTTGAAAAAAAAAATAAATAAATAAAGCGAGGAAAAGAGAAGAGGGAGCAACGTAAACTATACCCGTTTTCACCTCAAGAACCGAAGTAAAAGAGTCCGGCTCCTCGCGGAGCATTACTAATTTTCCCTTTAACGAGGAGAATTAATATATACGTAGGTGCATCTTAGATTAGATATATGATATCTAATCAAGACGTATACGTTTCAAACGCCAAAAGGATCGCTTCTTCCTCCGACAACCAAATCTTGTAAGAACTACTTCGCCCAGCGTATGAACAATGCGCAAAACGTCCTTTTTTCTTGAGGTGAAAACGAGTATAGTAGTGTCGCAAAAATATTGATAGTAAACCGGCGACAGTACTCTCGATAGGTTTAAGGTAGTCACCTCTCGAGTTTCCCGATGGTCAATTAACAATAATTTTCGGATAGTCGACTTTTGATAGTTTTTCGATAGTCGACTATCGATAATACTATCGGTAGTTTTTCGATAGTCGACTATCGATAG